ATATCACCATTCATAAAACACTTCCCCAGCATGGTTTCTAGAGGGCAGTGATGTGCTGATAATTGTTAACTCCCTATTCTCCAAATACCCAATTTGGGGTATTCACCCATGCACCTGGTGTAAATACACTGCCAGTTCTAAGCCACCAATGAGATTTCAGCTGAATGCATTATCAAGGCAAATGGCCAGGATGGGTTTGGTGGGTTAGTGCAAGCTTCACCTCACTGGTTCTGTAGGAAATGATTCTGACTTTGAGCCCCTTTTATAACTTCTTACAAACGAAGCCTAAGAGATGTTCTAGTCTAGTCACAATTCAATGACTCAGGCCTTTGGCCCAACCATGGGCTGCAGATGCCAGCGATACTAAGCCTCCTTCTCATGGATGGACCCACTTGCCTTCAGCCTAGAGGAGTCCAGGCTGGGCTGCTGTGAGAATGTGCAGATTGGGAGCTCCACCCCTTCCCCCATCACCCCTACCCCATGCTAGCATGCAAGCCTTCTCCTGGGAAGCAAGAGAGGTGTAAGGTGATGGGGTGAGACCAGGGCCAGCTGTTCCTGGGAGGTGGGAAGCAGGGAGGCAGTGCACTTGAGTGCAACTTGGTTTTAGTTCAGGAGGCTGAATAATTTCAGGAGGGCATTTCTCTCTCTCTCTCTCTCTCTCTCTCTCTCTCTCTCTCTCTCTCCTCCCCCCCCTTCCTCTGTATGTCTAGTCAGAGATCTCAGACAATCACTGCCTTGAAAACCTCCCCTCCTGGCATCTGTGTCACAGCCTCTCTCTCTCTCTGTCTAACTGCCTCTTCTTGAGGGTAGAGGCCAGCGATATTGCAGGGCCTGGGTCACACCCCCGCACCACATCTGGTTTCAAGCCCAGCTGCAGGAAAAAGTGCTACACCACCAGTGCCCTGCTTTGGGAACAGAGGCTAGCTCATCTCCTTGTGCCCCAGCACCTCCCAGTCTTTGTGGGTCTCAGCTGCAGGCAAATGGTAACCAAAAGCACAGGGGAGGTTGTGTCCCAAGAGGAAGGTCTCCTCCACATCCAGACAGATCTTCCCAGTCTGCCCAAGGAGCCCCAAGAAGCCAGAGACCCCATGACCTGACTCTCTGACCTATCTGCTCACCTCCTGGGCTACCTGTCTGCCTTTGCTCCCTGACTCAGGCTCTGCCTGCGGGCATAAATGTAAACATTCTAGGTGTGTCACTATTAGCCCCATCTTACAGATGTGAACACTGAGGCTGTGTGTCTGCCTGACTTGGGATAACAGGTCCAGGAGGGCTACCCACAATCACAGTGGCTCTTGAGCATACCCAATCTGCCCATGTTCACTGAGGTTGCTGGCACCCCTGCCCCCTCCTCCCAACCTGTCTGAGAGCTGGAATGTCATCTGACTCAAAACGAAACAAAACAAAAAACAAAAAACACTGTGGCTACAAAGAGAACCATGTGAGAACTGAGCGTCTTTCTCTCTTTCTTCTCTCTCATATTGTTTCCTTTGGAAAGAGTCACACCTAAGGTTTCACCTCATTTTTTCATTTGTTTTGTTTGTTTCTCAAGACAGGGTTTCCCTGTGTAACCCTGGCTGCCCTGGAACTCACTGTCTCTGCCTCCCAAATGCTGAGATTAAAGGCATGTGCCTCCACCATCCAGCTATTTTTGTTTTGTACACACACACACACACACACACACACACACACACACACACACACACTGCATAGAGAGAGAGATACACCATCACCAGTTGGGCATCCACAATCCAAAAGCCTCCAACTCCAAACTTCTCTGAGTGCTGACATGACACTCAGAATGTCCAAGTCTTTAGATCATTTGGGATTTGGGATTAGAGAACTCTCCAGTAACAAAGGGTCCACATGCATCATTTAATGAACTTGGGGACATGTTATAAGAAGTGTGCCTTGCCAGGCGGTGGTGGCGCACACCTTTAATCCCAGCACTTAGGAGGCAGGGGCAGGCGGTTTGAGACTAGCCTGGTCTACAAGAGCCAGTTCCAGGACAGCCTCCAAAGCCACAGAGAAATCCTGTCTCAAACTGCCCCCCCAAAAAGTATGCCTTTTGATAATTTCAGTGTTGTTGAGTGTCACATAGTGTCCTTATACAATGAAAGACAGCTATGACATCACTAGCTGATCTTTCAATTCCACTCTAATCTCTGAGACTACCTTTCTATTGGTGGGCCAAAACATCAAACAGCACATGGCTGTGTTCCAAAGCCAAAATCAGAAGCACTTTGAATAAAGGAGACTACTCTTATGTGAATATACGCGTGCATAAAGAATGTGGTGTGTGTGTGTGTGTGTGTGTGTGTGTGTGTGTGGGGTGGG